TCCCTCTCTCCCTCTCTCCCTCTCTCCCTCTCTCCCTCTCTCCCTCTCTCCCTTTCTCCCTCTCTCTCTCTCTCTCTCTCTCTCTCTCTCTCTCTCACACACACACACACACACACACACTAAAATTTTTTAAAAAAATTGAAATAGTGTCAAAAGGTGAGTGTAGTGGCACACACCTTTAATCCCAGCACTCAGGAGGCAGAGGCAGATGGATCTCTGAGTTCAAGACCAGCCTGGTCTACAGAATGAGTTCCAGGACAGCCAGAGCTACACAGAGAAACCCTGCCTTGAAAAACCAAAACCGAAATAAACAATAAAACAAACAAACAAAAACCCTTTAGTGTCCTTAGGCTTTTAAATGTCACTGTATCTACAAATGAACAAAATAATGAAGGGTTATTGAGGTCCCCGTGTGGGCACCGTCATTTACGTTAGCTCCTTCTATTCTCACTGCAAACATTGGAACAAGATTTACGAAAGCCATTTTTAGGTGGAGGAAAACATAGACCCAGAAAACTCAAATAACTGAATGATTGCATAAGGAGCGAGGGTGAAATGCTGTCATGAATTATCTTTATGGGCTTCCTCAATGTGCTTTTTAAATTTGGTGTTTTGTGTATTTATGCCTCTCACAGGGCGAGATTTGTGTGAGTATTATGGTTGTAAAAAGAATCCCGATAATTGCTTGAATGGTTTACAATGCACATGCAAAGATGGACTGAACAGGCTGAACCCGCAGGTTCCTTTTTGTTTCGGTAAGTGTTACAGCTGCTTCCAGACTTCCTTCCCACTCTCCATCCTCTAGTATTTTTAAAAGACAAGCATGGCTGCTTTGAGTTCCCATGTGTATTTTGACTTTAGCCTAGGACCTGGGTAAGAGTTGGCATGGTGCCCATGATCAGCTTTACACGAGGTACATCCTTATATTACTTAAAAAAAAAAAAAACAGTGCACAATGTTGTAGTCTGTTACATGTCATCTCGGGGTTGAAGAGATCATCTCTGGGCTGGTGAGATGGCTCAACCAGCAGACACTTGCCAAGCAAGCCTGGCCACCCATGCTTACCCAGCTTACCTGAGAGAACTGACTTTGCCCATAAAGTAATTTGTTCTGTGACTTCCACGCAAGTCCTGTGGCATGTGCTCTCCACCACTCACACACACATGTATACACACACACACACACATACACACACACACCACATACACATTTCTATTCCTCCTCCTCCTCCTCTTCCTCCTCCTCTTCTTCCTCTTCCTTCTCTTCTTCCTCCTCCTCTTCCTCCTCCTCATTCTTCTTCTTCTTTTCCTTTTTCTTCTTCTTTGGAAATGACCTAGAAAATCTCTGTTTTAAAGCTACAGAGTGCTCTGAGACCTGCAGTGCAGAGGAGAAGAAGCAATGCTTAAAGACGGATAGTGGCACAATGGAGTGTGTATGCATGCCGGGGTACCAGAAGGCAAACGGGAAATGTGAAGAGTAAGAAATCACTACATCTTTATCTTGTCACAACATAGCTAGGCCAAAGCTTGCAGCACATATGTGGGTTCAGTGTCAGGAAGCTGGCAAGCTGGCATGGAATGGCAGGTAAAGAGCACCACTGTGTCATCAACATCCAAGAAGGCTGGTTTGGGTTTTTTTAAAAGATATATTTATTCACTTTATATGTTTGAGAGCTGTATCTGCATGCACACCTGCATGCCAGAAGAGGACATCAGATCACATTATAGATGGTTATGAACCACCATGTGGGTGCTGGGAGTTGAACTCAGGACCTCTGGAAGAGCAGTCAGTGCCCTTAACCACTGAGTCATCTCAATACCCAACCATGAGTTTTTGAGCATTCTGTATTCCTAGAAACACCAGTAGGCAGAACCTATCACGCAACAGTTAGAAACATGTTAGGTGCCTATTACAAAATGAAGAAACAAACCTGAATGAATGACACAGGCCCTTGAGAGAGCCCATCTGCTCCATACTTTTACATTCAGCTTTGCCTTCAGAGCCTGTTATGTTCAGTCTTCAACAAATAAGGCCACACTGGATTGAGTGCACCTCACCCTTCCAGAACCCCATGGAAGGTGTTCTCTTGAGAAAATGGTAGCATTAAGAAGATGATGGAAAGCAAGGAAGGACAGAGTGAATGGCAGACGGGAAGGGAGAAATGGAAATTAGGGTGAGCGTTAAAGAGACTCTTTAATCTGGCTTGCTACTGTGAATGTGTTCCAGGTGTCCGTTTGGCTACAGCGGGAAGGATTGCAAAGACCGTGAGTCTGGACACCCTAAACTCCTACACATCCAAGAAACACACGCAGACCATATCCAGAGTCCTGCCCACTCCACCCAAGGCTTCCTGAATTCACTGAGAGAAAAACTCAGCTTTGAGCTTGTCTTCTGGGCCCTGCACCTCACATTTGCCTGTGTTTGAAATAACAGAACTCAGACCCAGGGGTGCTGGTGGCTCTGAACCGACTTAGGACCAGAGAAAGGCACCCTCAGTCACATACTCAAGTTCTAGATTATAGATGGTGTGTTCAAAAATGATGAGTGTTGGTGAACAGTTTAGAAATCAGGCATTTAAATTATTTATGTATTTATTTATTTAATGTATATGAGTACACTGTTGCTGTCTTCAGACACACCAGAAGAGAGCATCAGATTCCATTACAGATGGTTGTGAGCCACCGTGTGGTTGCTGGGAATTGAACTCAGGACCTCTGGAAGAACAGTCAGTGCTCTCATCTCTAGCTGGGCATTTAAATTCTTAAGCAGGTCTTATCAAATTTCATTCATTCATTTTGTAGACAGGGTCTTACTATATAACCTGGGTGATCTGAAACTCACTCTGTACACCAGCTGGCCTCGAACTCAGAGATTCACCTGCCTCTGCCTCTTGAGTACTGGATTAAAGGCATGTGCCACCATCGCTGGCATTAGTGAATTTTCCAATGCTTTTCAGGCTGTGTTGGGAACTGGTTTGCATGTTACATTTACAGTCCATCTTATGGTCATGTTTCGAGAGTCATAGTAACCAGACATGGCATAGTGCTGGATGTCTGCAATCTTAGTACTATGATCGCTGAGACAGGAAGACTGCTGTGAGTTTAAGGCCATCCTGGGCTATATAATAAAAGGTCTATAGCCCTCATCTGGGACAGATAAAGAGCATAGACAGTAATAGACTCCTGCCTAGTAAGCCATTACCTGTCCCTCTACTGGTGACATGTTGAGTCCCCACCTAGACCTCCTTATGAAAAAAAATGGGGTGCTTTGGGGGGCGGGCAGTGGTAGGAGAGATGGAGAGAGAGAAAGAGATGAGAGACCTCAGCTGAGAGTCCAGCCCACAAAGCCCAGGAAGACTTTGCCACCATCAGCTGCTTTTGACTCTGTGATTTTATAGCTGGAAAGGCTGCTTGTGATGATTGTGTGCTGCAGACATGGTTAGGGCGTGACGACCAGGAGAGGGTGGCAACAGAGACGAGCAGCTGCCCTGCCTGCCTCTGTGAGGCTGGGAGACAAGAACCTGATGGAGTTCACAGTGGGAGCCACTGGGAACACAACCTCTGTGTGGTAGACAGCAGGACCCACTCGCTGAAGGCCATTTGTTCTAGCTTCATTTCTGTTGCTGAGACAAATACTCTGGCCAAAAGCAATATAAGAAAGTTACTGCCTTTAATCCAAGCACATGGGAGACAGAGGCAGGTGAATCTCTGTGAGTTCAAGGTTAGACTGGTCTACAGAGAAACACAGGGGTTGGTTGCAGGGGGAGGAGAGAGAAAAAGAGAGAGAGAGACGGGGAGGGGGAGGGGGGATGGAGAGAGGCTTTGTTTGGTTTATAATTCCAAGTTGCAGTCATTATTTTGAGGAAATCAAGGCAGGTATTCAAACATTGGATCCACAGTCAAGAGCAAAAAGAGACTGAACACTGGGATCCTTGCTACCTGCACTCTTGCTCCCAGATAGCTCTCTTCTCTCTTACTGTTCAGGACCCCCTACCTAGGGAATGGTGCTCCCCACAATGGACTGGGTCTTCCTGTATCAATTAACACTCAAGACTACCCCTGACCCAGACAGATGCCATCAGCTCACCAAATTTAGATAATGCCTCATTAAGACTCTCTTCCCAAGCTGTGCTGCGTTGACGGTGAAAACTGACCAGGGCTCTCTTCTGTCTTCCCTTGCAGAGTTTCAGCTGATTCTCACCATCGTGGGCACTGTTGGTGGAGCCCTCATCCTCATCTTGCTGATTGCGGTTATTGTCTCCATGAGGTATGGGGCTGGATAGATGATGCTAAATATGCTGCCCTGCAGATGCTACCAGACACTCACGGATGAGAAAGAGGAAACAATATATTTATTATATAAATCATATTATAATTTATTATATTTATAGCATAATTATTTATATAGCAAATATATTAGTATATATCATATAATATTATATAACTATTGTAACATAGTATTTGACATAAATGTAGTGTAATATATTAACATATAAAACCAATATCTATAATATATTAATTATAATAATATATTATGTGTAATAAACTGATATAGGCATTATTTATATTTTAACATATTATAATTATTATTTTTATATTATATATAAAATACTTCAAGAAAATAATAAAAATAAATCCTTTAAAAAGAAAGGAAATTGGGCTGGAGAGATGGCTCAATGGTTAAGAGCACTGACTGCTTTTCCAGAGGTCCTGAGTTCAAGTCCCAGCAACCACATGGTGGCTCACAACCATCTTTAATGGGCTCTGATGCCCTCTTCTGGTGTGTCTGAAGAGAGCAATGGTGAATACATAAAATAAATAAATAAGTCTTTAAAAAAAAAGAAAGGAAATTATTTACGTTTCTTTTATATTTATATATAATAATATATTTACATATAATATATAATTAATAAATGATATTATAAATATAAATAATATATACATAATACTATGTTATATATTCTACATATAATATATATTAAGTACTATATATTATATATCATATATCTATTATGTATTATAAGTGTATGTGAAAGAAGATGTCCAAGAAATCCAGAAAAGAGTGTCAGAAACCCTAGAGCTGGCGTTACAGGCGGTTGTAAGCCACCCAACCTGGGTGCTGTACTCTGAACTCAGATCCTCTCCAAGAGCAATATATGTTCTTACCCATTGACTATCACTGTTCAATGGCCTTTACTTAATTCTGTCTTTTTAAGTGATATTATATACACGGTTAAATGTCCTTTACGATTAAATTTTTTTTTTGTTCAAGTTGCTTCACATCAATCAAACCCAATAATCAGTTTTCTATAGCATTAACAACTCTTCCCTAGGGCCAGGTGTGGTGGTACATACCTTTGATCCTAGCACTTGGGAGGCAGAGGCAGGCAAATGTCTGTGAGTTCAAGACCAGCCTGGTCTACAGAGTGAGTTCCAGGACAGCTAAGGCTATGCTATGCTGTCCTGTCTCAAACAACAGAAAGGCAACTTTCCGTTAGCACTGTTTAACTCAAGTTATGCATAGCTGTACACACCTGTAAACTCAGTACTTGGAAGGCGGAAGCAGGAGGATTAAGAGTTTAGGGCTATCCTAAACTACATAGCAAGTTTGAGGCCAGCCTTGACTACATGAGAGTTTGCCTTAAAATACAAAATCAAGGGTTGGGGTTGGAGCTCAGTTGGTAGAGTGCTTACATAGCCTGCGTGGAGACCTACATTTGCTCTTCTGCATTAAACTGGATGTCTTCCCAGCTCAGGGAGTAAAGGCAGGAGGCTCAGAAGTCCCAGGTTATCGTTGGTTACATAGAGATTTTCAGGCTAGCCTTAGCTCTATGAGACACTCTTCAAACAAACAAACAAACAAACAAACATGTATTGAATTCTCCTGATGTTTTCAAAGAACTTCCCCAAACCAACCCCCTGCCTAGAACTCTAATAAACAGAAACAACCTCAACAGTGTTCCAAAGCAACCTGTGCTAGAAACCCTGGGTTTTAAAGTAGGGAGTTCATCTCTTTCTTGGCTTGGTGCTGTCAGTCTCTAAGGGACGGGAAACGAGGTCTCTTTAGTCGTTCAGCAGTATTTAGCAATGCTGCAGCAATTCCAGTAGCTGGGCAGAGAATACTGTGACCTTTTTTCCATCTACAAGTGACAATGGGATTCACTTTGTGAGAAGCAACTAGTTTCCCCCTAACATTTATCTTGGACCTTTTCCCATTGTAACTGTAGAATGGACAGATACTCAGTTCTTTTTTTGTTTTGTTTTTGTTTTTTGAGACAAGGTTTTTCTGTGTGTACCCTTTGCTGTCCTAGAACTCACTTTGTAGACCAAGCTGGCCTCAAACTCACAGATATCTACTGCCCAAGTGCTAGGATTAAAGGTATGCACCACCATTGCCCAGCCACTGGTAATTCTTATTTTTTAATTGTATGCATTTAAGATGTGCAATATGATTGTTTGATGCTAACTCTTCCCAGAGCAAAGCTTGAACCAGCCACATGGCATCCTTATAGTATCTAGCTTTCTCACTTCTGGGAAGACAGGTGGAACATCCCTGGCTTGGGAGCAAGCCTATGTCCTCTTTTCTCAGGGTAGCTGGCTGACTATCCTGGCCCTCCAGAGATCAGAGTTACTAAAGGATTGTATGGCCTTGTGACAGCTTCACAGCATGGCTCCTTCATTCTACTGCAGAGCCTGGCTATTAGCCCAAGCCACAGAGTCAGGGTTCTTGGAAATACAGCATGAAATTTCGCCTCCTTGATCAGTTCACAGGGAAGGGGAGAATCTTTGCTACTCCTGACAAGAATGTCAAAGGCAGGATCCCCAGAGTAAGCTGAGCTGGCCATATAAACAAGTCAAATGACAGTCCCCATGTGACTGAAGCACGGGGGTACTGGGAGTGGCCTATGTCATACATATAGCTGTCCCTAGTCTCTTGATCTGGAAAGTGGGGCTATGGCCCATGGGCAGGAAGACAGCAGATTTATAATCAGAGTTGAGATACGACGATGCTTTGGTGGCTTACAATTGGCTTAGAAGTCCCATACTAGAGGTCCTTGAAGTGTCCCTAACCGGTCCTCTCATCTTGCCAAGCCTATCTTCCTCATTGTGTATATGTGTGTAGTTTGTGTCTATTTGTGTAAACATATGTATATACTAGTGTGGGTACTGTGCATGCAAGTGTAATATGGAGGTCCAGGGTTGATGTTAGAAGGCTTCCTCTGTTGTAGCTTTCTGTATTAGCTGAGGCAGGGACTCAGTTGCACCGGGATGCAGATCCAGCTACTCTGGCTATCCAGCTTACTCCAGGGTTCCCGATGGGGCTCCTGTCCTTCCAAGTGCTACAATAGCAGGCTGGCCCCCATGCCTACCTGCTATTTGTGTGGGCTCTAAGGATCACACACCCTGGTGCTCACACTTCTGAGATGTTTCTGTAAACATTTATGCAGCTTGTGTCATTGTTTCTATTTCACTTCTGTTAGTTCCATAACTAACTGAAAAGCACACTGACTGTTAATGTGGTTCTGGGTAGGGGTGGCACACACCTTTGATCCCAGCACTCCAGAAGCAGATGCAGGCAGATTTTTGTGAGTTCGAGGCCAGCCTGGTCTACATAGTGACTTCCAAGACAGCCAGGATTATAGTGAAGCCTGTCTCAGAAAAAAAAAAAATCCCTTAAGAAACTTTGTTGTCAGCTGGGCGGTGGTGGCACACACCTTTAAATCCCAGCACTTGGGAGGCAGAGACAGGTGGATTTCTGAGTTCGAGGCCAGCCTGGTCTACAGAGTGAGTTCCAGGACAGCCAAGGCTATACAGAGAAACGCTGTCTCGAACCCCCCCCCCCCCAAAAAAAAGAAAGAAACCTTGTTGCCCTCCCTGAGTTCTAATTCAATTTACTGATTCTAGCTCAAAGAACAAAAAGAAGAATGTAGAAGAGCAGAAGCTGATTGAGGATGACTTCCAAAACGTCCGGCTGAGGCAAACCGGCTTCTCCAACTTCGGAGCAGACAGCAGCATCTTCCCCAAAGTCAAAACAGGGGTCCCGAGTCAGACCCCTAATCCCTACGCAAACCAACGAAGCATGCCTCGCCCTGACTACTAGGTGAGTGCAGAATGTAATGCTCAGGCAGAGAGCCTAAGCATGGCTGGAGAAGTGGCTCAGTGGTTAAGAGTTCAAGTCGCTCTTACTGAGGACCTGGGGTTTGGTTCCCGGCACTCACACGATGATGATACACAACCATCCCCGACTCTAGTTCCAGCAGATCCAGTGACCTCTTTGACCTCTACAGGTTCCAGGCAAGCACACGGTTTGCATACATAAATGCAAACAAAACACTAATACACATAAAAAAAAATAAACAAACCTTTTAAAAAACATTAGCAAACACAGAGGTCCCAGCCACAGCACCAGCAAACAAGGAGGTCCCAACCACAGCACCAGCCACCACTTGGTCCCTAGCACTAATGGCCATCTACATGACATCAGTCCTGTCTCTGAATCTCTCGGGCAAGCATGGCACTGGAGCAGTAGATGAAAGCTTACATCCGTATCTGAAAGTTGGAGGTAGAGAGGGCTAACTGGGAATGGTGAGGGCTTTTGAACCCCAAAGCTGCCTCCAGTGGCATGCCTCTTCCATCAGAGTAACACCCCCTAATTCTTCCCAAACAGTTCCACCAATGGGGACCAGTTATTCAAACATGTAAGTCTATGGGAGCCATCCTCACTCAAAACACCACATCAGGTTAGGCTGTACAGATCTTGTCTCAAACCAAACAGACAGACAGACAGACACCCCAAAGACAGAAGACAGAAAGCTGGAAAAGACAAAAAAATGTTAAAATAGTTGATGAATCTCAGTTTTCTCCTGTTACTTTCTGGAAATCTTTTCTAAGCCCCCCCCCCCTCTTTCTCTCTCCTCCTGTATAGAATGACAAGAATTTGGAACCCTCCCTCATCCAGCCCACACAAGCAATGATCTTAAGGACAAGGAGAAATGGGCAGAGACAAAGGTTTGACCTCCAGTGTTCCTCTGCCAACCCCTTTGGGTGTGGACCTGTGTGAAGAATGCAGCTTGCTGAAGACACACCTATCAAATTAAACGCACGTAGACACTACGAGCCTTTGTAAGAGTTGATTTTCTCCGGTTTATACAGAATGCTATGGCGGTGATTGGTGTGGGCTTTTCTTTCCTGGTGGGCCAATTAGCATTTTCAATCTAGAGGGAGCACCCTCATAACTCATCCCTGACCAGTGCCACTCCTGAGCTCTGGACTCTGGCCACCTTTGAACAGCCAGCTGCTTGTGATAGGGCCTCACTCTAAGAAGACAGGCAAGAGACAGAAGCATCTCCCAGCTTTCTCTGGAGGACTACAGGGACCCAGGTACCCTCAGATGAGAATAAGAAGGCTTAGACTAGCTGTGTCCTCTGTGGGGATATTCAAGTCTTTGAGATGTTAGCTGGTAGGAAAAGCAGGGAGAAAGACATGGGCATAGGAAAGACATGGGCATAGAGAGAGGCCAAGGAAGCTATGCTGGGAGGCTGAGGGAGGAGAAAGTAGCAGGTGGCATCTTCTCCTTTGATCATGCCCCTCCCTCCGAAGGTAGCTAATAGGTACTCTTGGGTGCTGCCATCCCCAAGATATAGATCCTGGGAAAGCCATAAAATCAGAAGTTAGTGTGAAGCCCCTGTGAAACCACAGGCCTTCTGTCTAGAACTCTGTCAGAGGGGCCAGGTGTCCGTCCACTGGGCTTCAACCTACTCCAAAATGGAGACTTAACAGTGGCCACCAACATGTATACACAGACACACACATAAACACGGGATAAATACATCCATCATCTGCCTTTTTAAATGTTAATTGTGCCCTTGTGTCTGTCTGATGTCTGGTCCTCTCGAAAGATACTTTTATTTGTTATTATTTGTTCTTGACTGTTCATTGTGGAAGGTAATGATGTAATAAAATGTCTTTTGTAGATAGTGTCCTTTCTTGTGTTGGGAGGCTCACAGCAGTGAGTCTCATGTATCCCAGACTGGCTTCAAACGTTTTACACAGCAGAAGAGGACCTGAAATTTCTGCTCTTCCTGCCTCTGCCTCGCCAGAGCTATCTCCATGTCGCTAGTGTGGGGATTACAGGCGTGTGCCATCACGCCTGGTTATGTGGTAGGTAGGGATGATGCCAGGTGTACCAGGGCTTCCCAATGCCAGACAAGCACCCTTAGTCCTTAGTTCCTAGCACAAGTCTCATTTCATGTTTAGAGATTTGTTTTATTTTTAAGTATGTGTGTAGGGGTAGATGGCTGTGGGGGTCAGAGGCATCAGATCCCCTAGAACTGGAGTCAAGACACATGTGAGCTGCCTGACTCAGTGCTGAGAACTCAGCCCAGGTCAGTACAGGCCTTACTGCCTTACTGCAGGAGCAGTAAGTACTCGTAAGCCGTCTCTCTGGCTCCCCCTTGAGTCACATTTTAAACAGAAAATGTGACTTGACACCCTGCAGTGGTTGACATTGGCTACCTTCACCAGGAGTTTCCATCACCCAAGACAACATTTTAACATGCCATAGACCATGTTGGCCTCTATCCCGTAAACACAACTCCATGACAAGTTTCCAGACCAAGGGATCCCATTCTTGGATCCAGGGATTGGCTCAGGTCAAACCCAGCGGAGGTGGACTTAACGCTGAGCACCTATGTAACACGTGGGTAAACTGTCATGTGCTATTTCAGCTTTTGAAAGCAGACTCTGCGAGCAAAAGCACACCCTTTGTCCCAGACTCGGAATGTTTAAGTATTTTCTCGAATGGCTGGTGAGAAGACTTGGCTGGTAAAGGGACCTGCTGCCAAACTTGACCACCTCAAGTTTGCCACGTGGGCATTACATGGTAAAAAGAGAGAACTAACTCCCAGTAATTCTCTAACTTTACATGTGTAAAACATGGCATGTGCCCTGCCCCATAAATACACTAAACTGGAATAAATTGTTTCTTTGTCTGGGTGGTGGTGAGGCATACCTTTAATCCCAGTGCACAGGAGGTAGAGGCAGATGGATCTCTGTGAGTTCAAAGCCAGCCTGGTCTACAGAGTGAGTTCCAAGGCAGGGTTACACAGAGAAACCCTGTCTTGGGGGAGGGGGAAGCCTGTGGTGAGAAGAGGAAGCTGGAAGCTCATCCATGAAGAGAAAGCTCAATCAGAAACTCTATCGGGCTGCCTCAACCTCTCTAGTTGACTTCTGGCTGGATGTTGGTAAGTCCTTGATTTGATGTGTGAACTAAAGTTTCCAGGAGGAGAAGGGAGGGAGAGAGGTGCAGTGGGTACGTATAAAATACTTTCTTAAAGGCCCACATTTGGGATAATCCTGTGACAGAGGGAGTCCGGGTACTCTGAGTCACAGGAGGTTGAGCTACCTGACAGAGGTGCTGGGACCCACACTCCAGTCTTCTGAAAGAGCAGCAAGTGGTTTTGACTCCTCAGCTTCCTCTCCAGCCTCCAAAAAGCATACTCACCTTAGCTACTAGTCCCCACAATAGAGAAGCACTCAGGGAAAACTGACTGGCTAATACAGAGTCAACCAATCCATTATCAGTGTCAGTGCAAATGCAGGCATTGCCTTAAAGCAGCCAAACTCTGCCCCTCATCATCAGAGGCTTCCTTTCTGTGCACACAGCCTCCCTCGTTCAGGGCAGCTCCAGATCTAGCGAGCTTTTTGAGCTCCGTTTTTAAGCCATTCCACCTGCTTCCCTCAGCCTCACCACGCACTGGCTCCTATCACTTCTCAAACATCCAAGTCAGGCAAGTTTCCTAGACTTTATGAGCCATTCTTGAGAGACTCACTGTTGCTGAAAGAAAACAAATAGTCTTAAAGAGAAGAAGTCATAGTGGGCACCACGAATCCCACCGTTCAGGAGGCAGCCATGCAGATCTCTGAGTTCCAGATCAGCCTGAATACACTATCTCAAAAGCAAGCAAGCAGGCAGGCAGGCAAGCAAGCAAGCAAGCAAGCAAGCAAGCAAATAAACAAACAGGATCGTTTGTAGTCCAGGCTGACCTCAGACTTAATTTGTAGCCAAAGATAACCTTAAACTCTGGTCCTCCTGTCTCTCTCCCAAGTACTGGGATTGCAGGTATGTGCCTGTTGTACAGGATTTTTCTGATCCAAACTGTCACCATCTTCAAGAGTTCTACTGTGCCTGCTTGCAAAAGTCACTACACCAGGGCCAGATGACTACTTACCCTCCTTCTAGGAGAAGAGGGTGGGAGAGTCATGGGTCCCTCACTTGTCTCACCGACCCTCCCAAGCAGATGTACAAAGTTCTGCCCTAGTTGCATGTGGTCCCGGGGCATGGTGGGGAAAGATAAGTAAAAGAGGCTCTATGCATCTACACAGCCATGAGGAAGCTGCCATCTCTGTGAGGTTCAGACTTTCCAGTGTAGCTGCCTTTCTTTTTTTTCTCCCCTTAGACAGGGTTTCTCTGTGTAGCCCTGGCTGTCCTGGAACTTACTTCATATACCAGGCTGGCTTGAACTCAGAGATCCGCCTGCCTCTGCCTCCTGAGTGCTGGGTTCAAAGGTGTGCCCCACCACTGCCCGGCTGAACTGTGGCTGCTTTAAGCTCCCCTGAGGGAGCCCATAATTCCTCATTCTATAAGTAAGCCACGTTAACTCAGTGGTTGCCTCGGTGAACACATCTGCTTGTCATTGGTCCTAAGGAGAGAAGGAATTTTAGCACCACCACCACTCTGCTTGGCTTGAGCACTGGGACTGCATATAGGGCCAGGCATGCTACTTTGTTTTTATTATTATTATTATTATGAATGGTCCCCAGAGGCCCCGTGTTGTAAGACTTGATTGCCGGGAGAAGGAAGTTAAATCACTGGGATGTGCCCTTGAAGAGGAGATTGAGATGCCAGCCCTTCCTTCATTCTTTTGCTTCTTGATTGCTGTGAGGTGAGTGCCCATGATGTTCAATGTAACCACAGGCCCAAAGCCAACAGGGCTAAGCATCCCCACGCCAGAACCTCAGAGGCTGTGAGCCAACACACATCTCTACTTCATTTATGTGAACATTTTAAATTTCACTTTATTATTTTTAAGACACTGTCTCAATTATGGCTAGCTTGGAATGCACTATGTAGACCAAGCTAGTCTCTAAACCTTACAGAGATCTTCCTGTCTCTGTCTTCCAAGTGCTGAGACTAAAACCTGTTCCACCATGCCCAGCCAACTTTCTTACTTTGGGTTTCCATTGTTGTGAAGAGGTATCATGACCAAGGCAACTCTTTTTTTTTTAAAGATTTATTTATTTATTATTTATGAATACACTGTAGCTGTCTTCAGACACACCAGAAGAGGGCATCAGATCCCATTACAGATGATTGTGAGCCACCATGTGGTTGCTGGGATTTGAACTCAGGACCTCTGGAAGTGCAGTCAGTGCTCTTAACCACTGAGCCATCTCTCCAGCCCCCCAAGGCAACTCTTATAAAGGCAAATATTTGATTGGGGGTGGCTTACAGTTTCAGAGATTATCATCATGGTGGGAAGCATGGCAGCCTGCAGGCAGACACGGTGCTGGAGAAGGAGCTGAGAGTTCTACACCTTGATCCACAGGCAGCAGAAGGAAACTGTGTAGATCACTGGATGTAGCTCGAACATAGGAGATCTCAAAGCCCTCCTCTATAGTAACACACTTCCTCTAACATGGTCACACCCACTCCAACAGGGCCATGCCTCCTAATAGTACCATACTCTATGAGCCAAGTATTCAAACACATGAGTCTACTGGGGACCATACCAATTCAAACTGCCACACCTACTAAATATTTTTTTCAATTGTATGTGTAAGTGTGTGTGTGTTTGAATGTGGACAGGCAGACAGATGTGTTCAACACACACATGGAGATGAGAAGACAGTCAGTTTTCTCCTTATACTTTCACATGGATCCTAGGGCTCAACTCAGGTCATCAGGCTTGCTCAGCAAGCACCTTACCCACTTGTTGGACATCCTTAAAATTAAGTTGATTTATCCAGTACTTGTTTT